CGTACCGAACTGTCATATTTGTGTACCGTTACACCCCTAATATATATATATATATATATATATAATATTTTATTTCAGCTTCATTTCTATTACTGAAATAGGTTTACTTTTAGTTAACAATAACAGCTCTGTAACAGACTTGGGACACTCCCATATCTGACAAACTTCAGTGTGTGATATATGTCCATTATTTTCATATTTTCCAGGAGACGTCCCTGTGTGCACTGATGAAGTTTGTTGCAGCAGAAGGCAAACACCCTCTCCAGAATCTGGACTTGAGTGAGCACTACAACTTTCCCAGGGAGCTCTTACGGGTAGGTTTTCTTTTTACAACTACAGATATTGACATGTGTTGCACACTGAAGTCATATATGAATAAAGCTTATCCCTCTCATGTGCACAGACCCTGGTGGAGCATCTTCTCTCAGAGAATGAAGACATGTCACTGCTCATCTCCAGGTTTCAAGAGTTTTTGGAGATGGACGATGTGCGCTACTACGTCATGAGTTCAGTGCGAGACAACATTTACAGAGTCATGGGCCGAAACAAAAAGGTGAGCGTGGTTGTGTTTACATTGCCAGTTTTTCTGTCATTTTTTTCATTTTAATGACTTTTTGTTTTGTTTTGTTTTTTTCTGTACATTTATACATATTTATTCTGTATTACCAGTTATACAGGCTTATTTTTGTAATCAAATCTGTTTTTTAGGCTGTGATTCCTGTATATCAGAATAATGTTTTCGCACTCCTCTCAACCATCAACGTACCCAGCAGCGAAGCATCAAAAATGAAAAATTTCCTTGTCAAACAAGAGTGTAAGTTTGTTTATTACCGCGGTATTGTCCCTATAAAACACTGTCCTTCATAAGTACCATTTCTTTCTGCTTTATAGACAAACTTAAAGAATGGAAAGTAGCCAAACTAAAGGTAAATACTTTTTTATTATACATTTCTGCATTTATTTGTCCAAAGTTCATTCTGACATTATAAATATATGATTTTTTCCATATAGGAGCATAAACGAGCTTTTGAGCAAATGTGGTTGGTGTTTCTCAAGTTCAAGGTAAAACAACCCTCACTATAATGTCACAGTATTATGCTCCTTGTCTATAAAGACCTTTCCTAAGGTTTTTTTTGAGGTTCTTAACCAGTCTTTGGGTTCCCATAGTTACCTAGCAACATGTACAAGAAGATCCTGGTCATCCTTCATGAATCCATAATGCCACAGATGAGTGATCCCACACTTTTGATTGACTTCCTGAGTGCTGCCTATGACATTGGTGAGTCCAGGGTGTACTAAAGGATCGATTATACAGTATATGCGCTGTCATGAGTACAAAATTATTAATCATGACATTATCTGTTATACAGTTATACATCTGTAATGCACTTTTCTGTCTGTGTTTTTTTCTCAGGTGGGGCGATCAGTTTGTTATCTCTGAATGGCTTGTTCATCCTCATCCATAAGCATAATTTGTAAGCATTAAACCATTTCAAAAGGTCTGATCGACATGAACGATTGAATATTTTAAGATTCAATATATTTTTTAAAAAGCCTTCTCTGTCTTTGTTGTGTAGGGATTACCCAGATTTTTATAAGAAGCTGTACAGTCTGCTGGATCCCTCTATCTTCCATGTGAAGTACAGAGCACGTTTCTTCCACCTGGTGAACATCTTCCTCTCTTCAACGTAGGTTTACTGTTTACACTTTTATTTTGGCTAAAGATCAATATGAGCATCAGAACATAAATGTGGTGTTTTGTTCTTAAAAACAGTAGAACAGTAACCCGTTTGCTCTGACAGACATCTGCCAGCCTACCTTGTGGCCGCGTTTGTGAAGCGTTTCGCTCGCCTGTCTCTCACAGCGCCACCTACATCTCTCCTCATCCTTCTGCCATTCATCTGTAATCTCATTCGCCGGCACCCCTCATGTAGAGTCCTCATCCACAGACCCAGCACTGCAGAAGGTGCGTCACTGATAGAGCGATCAAAAAATATTAATTTAAGATATATACACATTTATATATGGGTCAAAGACGAAAAAGGGATAAAGCATAAAAACAATAAGTGTAATATTGCTTTCAATTGTTGAAATTGAACAATTTCAATTTGAAATTGTTTAATTGAAAAAAAAAATGTTTAATTGAATTGTAATTTTGTTTTTCTGAGCAAAAAATAAATATACATTTTTCCCTGATTTACAGAAGAGACCCACTAAACAGTCATTCAGTGTAACAATCTTCTCAGGCATATTTACAACAAAAATCAATTTATGACATATTAAAAGACTAATTACTTTCACCCCAAACACTAATTAGTTGTAATTTTACATTTTTTTAATAAAAGTAGACACTTTACTTACATTTAATGTGCTTTCTATGGACATAAAATCACTTTTTTGTATATTCCTTTTGATGCGGACATCTTAATGTCTTTGACCCATATACATTTACATATTTTATGTATTTATTGTGTATTAATTATTATTTATGTACTTATTTATTTTGTTTTTGTTTATTTAAAAATATAAACATTTATTTATTTGTTATAAATTGTTTATTTTAAATATATATGTTTTATTTTGTGTTAATTACTGTTTATTCTAACACTGCATTCATTTATTTATTTTATTATTATTATTGTTATTATTATTATTTTAATTTTAACCAGAATTTATTAGGTGGAATTAGGGCTGAACGATTTTGGAAAATAATCTAATTGCGTATAAGAGAGCGCGGACGTCTCCTTATGCTTTCTCTCGCTGTACTTTGATGTCAAAGGCTACACCGATCGATCTTCAAGCGGAACACACCTCGTTACTCTGGCGTGTCATGTGACCGAGTGTAATCGCAGTCTCTGCGATTGAAAAATCGTGTTTTTTCATATCGCAATATTATCGCAAATGCAATTAATCGTTCAGCCCTAGGTGGAATCCAGGAACACTTATCTTTTTTTCAGCATTAATTATGAAAAATTGTTCTTGTGAATGTTTTTAATCAGAGCCTTGTGATGACCCGTATGTGATGAAAGAGGAAGATCCGGCTCAGTCTCATGCTCTGGAGAGCAGCCTATGGGAGATCAAGGTAAGACTAAATCCAAGACTCTTCATATTGTTCTTTATTTGGAACTGTCCTTTCTGACATTGACTATTCTGACTGACTCGCCATCCACAAACTCAACAAAGAATTAACCTTTGACTGTCTAAAAGGATGTCCATGAAAAAAATCTTCTCTTAGACTTTACAGAAGCATTACCACCCAGATGTGGCCAAGGCTGCTATGAAGATCAACGACCCGCTTACTGAACAAGAGGATGATATCAGTGAGCTGCTAGAGCTCTCTACATTTGAGGTAGTTAGTAAGATTTGATATTTTGATTATATTTTATAGTTATATTTGCCATGTGTTACAAGTATAAAATCGTTAAACTAATCATTATCCCCTCCACATTTTGTATGGCAGCTAATGGAGCGAGAACTCAAAGCTGAAAGGAAGACGATACCGCTAGAGTTTGATACAGCCACGGAGCTCCTGAAGAGCTCTAGAGAGGTGCTCGGAGTGCACTTTTCTCTAGAGTAACCACTCTTATTTGCAAATATGATCTTTCCAAAATGTGTTCTCTGTATTAAAAAAGGTTGTGCATCAACTGTGGCAGTCCATTCCCCAGGCTGAAGAAATAAACATTTGCACAAAATGAGCATGCGCTGTGGATATAGTTTTTAACACATTGATGGCTAATGCAATGCTACCACAGTTTTATTCTATGGACAGTAACTGTAGGTTTTCTTCTTTTTTGCTGTCATCTCAGTCCTATATACATTTTCTCTTTTCTTAAACCTCTTCAAATAACAAATAAATCCAAACAGCATAGAAATGATATGTCTTTGTTTTGCATGAACACACCATACTTAATGTGATATAAACGTTCTGTGTTGGGATTCTGTTCTTTGCTGCTCCGCCCCAGTAGGTGTCGCTAATGTGAATACGTTAATTCCAGTACGCTAAAACACAGCAGTGGTAAATGAAGTGCTTCTCTGTTGTTGTACTGAACTTCGCTGTTGTCTTTTTAGATTTTTCAGTCCCGCTTTTCCAATTATGTCTACCGAATGTCTCTCTAAAATCGCAGAGGTTGATTTAGATCCCAACGGCGTCTTCAAATACGTCCTCATACGGGTGCACAGCAAAGACGATGATTCTTATGTTGATATTGTGAGAGGATACGCATGGGCCGAGTATCATGGTAGGGATCCATTCAAGTGTTTGAATGAATGACAGGTGTTAGGGAAGAGTGCAATAGGTTGTGAATGTCAGAAAATACATTTTAAAGAAGTTTTAAAAATGTTGCCAAATGTTGGTTTTGGCTCATAGTCTTTCAAGGCGAACTTTGTTGATATCCTAAAATATTTTATTTAGTGGTAATATTGAAGCATTGGCGAATCGCTTAGTTTTTATTTTTGATTGTATTATTATTATTATTATTTATAAATGTAAGGTTAAATGTTGAGTAAGATGAAATCTATTGACTTACATTGCTGATATTATTGAATGATGTTTCTTTAAAGAATCTGTGATTTTAGCTATTTTTTTAAGCGACGAATCGTTCTTGTTCACTTGTATGCGTTGACTCGTATTTTTCGTTCACTGAAGTGACTTACTCAACACAAGAGACAAGACAGTCTCCATCTGCAGAAACAGCCAGGGAATGAATCTTTTTCAATGAACTGATTCAAAAGATTCGCGTCACCGGGAGAAATGGAATGTTTAGCATATTGAATTGTGATTGGTCTCCTTTTTTCATATTGCTTTGTGATTGGTCTTTTATTTCTTACAACAATTAATCATCTATTTTGCATTTCATGCATTGCTATTCATTTCTCTCTTTCTCTGTATTATGTTTTCAACTTTTCTAGCTTTCATTTTACTAACGTTTTTTACTGCCGAAAAGCACTTGAGTTTGTTTAAATACAAAAGTGTTCATTTTCATATATTTCTAGATATGTATTACAGCTTTTAGGAACTTTCTCCACACATTTGATAGGAGAACAAAAGTTTCTTTGCGTCTAGCTACAAAACCTTCATAACATTGTATCTCCTCAAGCTGATATCTATGACCGTGTGGCTGGAGAACTGGAGAGAGGTGGAGGACTGGATTGTGAATGTCTCGGAGGTGGAAGAATCAAACATGACAGTGCTGCAAAAAAGATCCACGTCTACGGCTATTCCATGGTACGCATGATGTTCCAGTGTCAAACGATATACATTCCTTGAGTTAGTTCCATTAGTTGAACCAGTTCCTCTTTTTTTTCAGGGATTTGGGAGAGCGAAGCATTCTGTTTCCACAGAGAAGATAAAAACCCATTACCCAGACTATGAGGTGACCTGGGCGGACGAAGGGTATTGAATGGGTTACATGAGATAAATGACAGCTGCGAATAAGGACACTATTTCAAACCTAACTGTCTTAACGTAGCTTTCAAGTCTTGATGTGCCAAGGCTGAGAAAGTACAGAACTTTAATACATTTCTGGGATGGATGGATGGATGGATGGATGGGACGTTTACTCCAAAACTAAGACAGGTCATCCTCATTATGTTTGATTGGTTTTTAATTTAATGTGTAGATTAACACATGGCGAGAAAGGAATGCAATTACCTTTATGGCCATTGGTCTTTAAATATGATAAAATAAAACAGGTTAAGTACTTCGTCCAAACCGACCGTAAGTTAAATAGTGCAACACTGACGTCCTGAAATTATAATAAAGTCCAGAGAAGTGTTCTTAGAAATTCCCAGAACTGCTTATTTGTTATTTAAGTTGGAAGAAATGTTTGGATACACTATTATATCACGATATGGGAAATGTGCTTAACCTACAACATATTAAAATCTAAAGTACCATACAATAATACTGGACCCTCAGACCTGATCCGGAGGTTGTAAGCCTTGCCTGATAAACCTGACGATCCACCTCACATCCGTTTGTCAGCATTTTTAATAGAAGATGCCATTAGGATGTACAATGACTTTTTTGGCTCAAAATATTACGACCTAACGACATCCGGAGAATGTTATTAACATTTTGAATTCACAACATTTAAAACAACTGCATTTTTTGTCGTTTCAAGCCTGAAGATTAAAATAGAGATCTTGTATTAGTTGCATTTAAATTATTTAGTGCAAACAAATCGAAATGGATTGCACAACAGCATTTAATAAATGAGTCTACTTTTGCCTCTAGTATTGCATCTTTATTGTGTCATTGTCTTTATTTCTTGTTTTTTTGCTTGTCTGTCAAGGTTTACTGGCAAGTCGAACCTTAGAAATGGTTTACAGTTTGCTACTATTAGTAAGACCAGAATGTGCCGTTCATTTTAGCTGTGAAGTATCTGGTGTTGAGGCCAAAATAAACTGAACTGTCTGTGCTGCATATTTTCAAAAGGGCTGAGCAGCTTTAAAGGAAGGATCTGGCACGCTTCTGTGGGTTAAAATGCAAAGGCCAGGTATTATATCTATGTGGAAGCAGGAGCGAGGGACACAGGTGAAGTTAAAAACTTCATATGTGGCAGGATGGTGCTTTTGCTCACTGTACGCTGAAAAAGAGCTCTTGTTCTGTCTTCTGATGGCAAAAGTAAAGATTGGAGTCATGACTACCTGCCACTGGATTCTCCTTGTGTGTCTCATGCTGAATATCTGTCAGAGGGGTGAGATCTGGTGTTTTTGTTCTTTTATTTGTTGTTAACGTTTTCAGGTCAATTGCAATTCAATATTGAATGCCACGTTGGGACATATGTGTACTATTGAACATTAGTCATTTTTTTCTTATTTAATTTTTATTTTTAGTGCTTTCAATTGTACATTTCAGTGGCTGATATTTCTAATGATAAGAAAACACTGAAATGTGCACTGAAACAGTCTCAAAATAAGCGTCAGTGAATTATTGCTCTTCAGGACATTTCTTGTATGTGACCAAAACCCGATGTCATGAAGAGTGATTGGACGTCTTTTCAAAGCCCTCCCCTGGCACCAACCAATGACACATCCTTGTCGGGTATGTATATAGTACCAAATGCATATTTTAGGGAGCATTAACATCAACTTAATGCACTTGTTTTATCAAGAATCTATCCACATAATCAGGATTAGGTAGGCGTCTCACTGTCTATAGTGGTTATGGCCTTAAGTTTTAAACCCATTGTTCATAATTTCAGATGGTAATGTACACACATCAGTTTGGCCAAGTATCCGGTGGACTGTCTGTGTTGGTGGCCGAGAAGCAGATCTATCCTGTATGGGAACGTGGAGGTGCTCTCGGGGACTTGTGGGTAAAGGCTGAGGTGGAGTTTGTCATCAACAGCACGTTCCAGGTACGTGAACTCAATGCTCCTCTGACGACATCACACAAGGTTGTCACTTTTTATTACATTGCTGTCATAAAAAGCTATCTAATTTATTGAACTTACCCCAATCAGATTCTGTTTGTCGCTGCTATTCGAGACCATGCTTACGGAGGGATCGCTATTGATGATATTGTGTTGTCCCCTGAGTGCCGTTTATCCAATGGTACTCTCTAGTTTTTTGCCTGCCTACACTGATTAAACACCACAACTGTACACCTGCCTGCATATTGTCTGTATTTTATAAAATGATTCAATAGTCTCTCTCTCTTGCTTTTTCCTGCATATAGAATCAATGCCACTTCCAGAATTTCCAAAACCTCCTGCTCACCCTTGCACAGATGATGATTTGAAAATCTGTGACTTTAAGGAGGACTGTCCTGCTGGAGAAGATGAGGCTCAGTGTGGTGAGTTCCTCCTGTACTAATATATGTGCATGTTCAGTGTATTTGCATGTTTTTTTTGTTGTTGTATTTAATTCTATAATTACACACACACACACACAAACATATTTTGCAATTGCAATTTATATGAGACTGTTTAGTTTTACCTTTAAGATCTTTTCCACAGTGACATTATTTTGACATTATTTTCAGCCTATTTTGTACTATTATTTACATTTTCACATTATTATTTGCAGCCTAATTTGTGAAATTAAGCACATTTCCATGTAATGCAGCCTCATTCATTTTTAGATTCATGTTAATCTTTTAACATTATTTTTAGACTATTTTGTGCTTTTTTTTTTAGATTTAAGAACAGTGTGACATTCTCACATTATCTTTTTCAGCTTATTTTGTGCAGTTAAGCACATTTCTTGTTTTAGATTCACATTTCATCTTTTTAGATTGTTTCAGATTCTCATTGTCAGAAATGATTCTCACTAGATTCTGTCTGATTATATCATCATCATCATTATTATTATTGTATCATGTCAGCCCAATTTAATGCAGTATAGCAAATACTACCATAATGCCCAATGGGACATTTTCTATTTATTTTATGATATAAAATAATCATATTCACACAATGTTGTGTACATAGGGGACTTCTCATATGAGACGGGAAGCTCTGGCTGGACAGATACCAGTATAGGGAGCCAAGCCTGGGAGTTAAAACTGGAGTATAATGACACCATTAAAGGTGAAAAAAATCAGTTTTTATTATGATGGAACTAAGAAAATAATTTGATGAGGTAACTTAATTTAGTTTCATGTGTGTGTGTGTGTGTGTGTGTGTGTGTGTGTGTGTGTGTCATTAGAGGAGTTCCTGTCTGTGATTGGCGCTCCCGGGCAGCAGCTAAGTGAAGCCCAAACTCGTACCCCTCTCTTGGGTCCATCAGGTCTGGCATGCACCCTTCAGTTCTCCTACAGTCTCAGTGGCGGTAACCCACACATAGATACAACATCAGCTGTAATACACCTGTCTCACCTCTGTAAATCAGCATGATGGTAGACTATGGATTATCTTCGCCTCTCTGCAGGTGATCTGGCAGTGTATGTTGTGGGCAGTGTGTTGGGGACTCATCCTGTGCTGTGGGAGTTTTCTGGAAGAACCAATGAGACAGCAGGGACTTGGGTAAAGGAGGAAGTCTATGTTGGAGCCAGAGATCATCGCTTTCAGGTAGACTGTCTAGTTGTCTGTCTGCCTATCTCTCTGTCTGTCTGCCTGTCTCTCTATTTACATACCTATCTGCCATCTATCTATCTATCTGTCTACCGTTCTGTCGCTCTATCGTCCCTTTGTTCTATCTATCGTTCTATCTATCTTTTGTCATTCTCAGTTAGAGTTCAGGGCCCGTGCTAAAGAGCTCTCCCCAAGTAACCAGATTGCAGTGAAGGATGTGCACTTTGTTGACTGTTCTGCTCTGTTTATTCCTTCTGGTGGTGAGTGGGAACAAATCATATTTTTTTATTTTCACTGTGTTTTTGGTTGTTTTTCACTCTCTCTTAGCATCATCCTCTATTGTTTCCCCTCTAACAGAAATATCATGTAATTTTGAGGTAAATTGGTGCGGATGGTACCAGGACCAAACAGATAATTATGACTGGAGGCTTCAAAGTGGAATGAACCACACTGTCCATGATGGTCAGGATACATTTGATATCAACTGAATTATTATTTGATTTTTATGTTTGAAAACATCAGCATTCTCATGCAAACATTGTTCTTTTCTCATCTTTCTCTCTTTCAGTCTGGTGGTGGATATGTGGGACACTTCACTGCGAGGTCTGGCTGGACGTCTCCTCTCAGTCAGACAGTATAGTAACTCAGAGCACTGTCTGTCCTTCTTCTACAAACTCTATGGGCCAAACACAGGTGGATCTGAACACCTTATTCCCAGCTTCTTAAAATATTAGTTTAGTTTAAGCTGATGTGTGACCAGAAGGTCCTACAGCTCATTTCGGAGAACAGCTTATGCAGAGAAACTGATTCAAAGTTACACTTCATTATAATCCATTTGTTTCATCTTCTCTTTCCCAGGCGCTCTCAGTGTAAAGCTGCAGTTTGCTGATGGCTCCGAAGAGCTGTTGTGGACACGCACCGGTGCCCATGGTAACGTTTGGCATGAGGGCCATTGCTCTGTGCCTCCTCAGCTCTTTGCTTTCCAGGTGCACACAAAAGTTGTTTACACACCTAAAGTATAATTGTCAGCAAAAGCACTAGAAAAACAGATAATGGATTAAAATTAAAGAAATTTGAGCTGTTTTGACCAAAGAGTTTTGCAACATTTTTGCATCCAGAGTTTTTGCGTCTTGTTCGCTAACCTCTCATAATCCATCTTAAAGGATTAGTTCACCAAATGTTCATTTTTGGGTGAACTATTCCTTTAACCTGTTTTTACCATGTTTTCTATTTTAGCTGGATTAGTTCAAATGAATGATATATAGTATGTTGTGACCAGGGTAACTTCTACATGCTGGCCCACAGCAGTTTCGATGTCCTTCCCCAGGGCAGTGTGACCACCTCGACTTCCCCTGTGCGTAGAGGTTTGACTCACACCGAATGTGTACACTTCTGGTACCACACAGGAGGAGACAAACCAGGTAAAGAGAGCATTATCTCATAAGTGTGTGTACAACTATTCATTCGCAAGTAAAAACAGTGTATGTATCCCCACACAGGCACGCTGAATGTCTATGTGAAGCCAACTGATGGAAACAGGATACAGTTATTTTCCAGTAGCATCAGGCAGGGACATGCCTGGCGTCATGGCCAAGGGATTGTCAACTGGCATGGAGATTGGCAGGTAAGTGATCTGATGCCTTGGCTTGTTTAGTAATGCAATGCAATGAAACCTGTTTTGTTAGTTTATTGCTTAATAAATGGTCTGAGTATGAGGTTTTATGTATTTTTGGGATTCAGCTGCAGTTTGAGGTGAAGGGTGAAGGAGACACAAGATTCAGTTTTATTGCCATTGATGTCATCACCTACTCGACTCACAGCTGCCCCACAACAGGTTTGTTTTAAAAGTTAAAGTCAATATTTAAAAAATCTACACCATTTACTTTCTCAATACTCATTTCCTCATTGTGAATGAATTAATGCATGTTATTCCAAAGGTAAAAAATATCTTTAAAAATCTTTACAATCTTGATCCACCCCTGAAACAACTTTCCTTTTCGAGTGACATCACCAAACGCTTCTTGTTTCTGTACCCTTCCTCTTCACATACCTGTTGTATGTGTAGAAGATTTTTATTAATCCAAATAGGAATTAATCAAGTATAATCAAGGCAAATCTAGCCATTAATATATCTAGTTCTACTTCCATTATAATCCTATATGCCTGTGTGTAAAAACATGCCTACGTGGCAGAGAGTACAGAACTAAGATGAGAAACATCTGTAAAAACCATAAGTGGGGGGCTTTCTTTAACATAACAAGACTAGAGAGGAGGGGCTTTTGTCTCTAGGGAGAATGATATGCACAAAGAAACCATTCTATGTATGGAAAAACTGTATGGAATATTTACCCCACGCCTCCAAATCCAAATGTATAAAAAGGAAGATACAAAGAAGTTCTGGAGATGTTCTCTGCAGAGATTCTCCACTTTATTCTCATTGTTGAAATAAAGTGTATTTCTTTTGACTTCAAAAAACCCAAGACTGAGTGTAATTTCTAAGAACAGAGGAAAAAGACACGACATATGTAAACAACTTTTCATGATCCATTGAATATTGGAAGTTATTGGGTTGTCAAGGTTTATATTTTAATAAAATATTTTATAGTTGTTTATTATGACAAGATTGTTTGACTTTTTTTGTAACAATTGTTATTTGCATTTGTGTGTGCATTTCAGATAGCATCTGTGATTTCGAGAAAGGTTTGTGTGGTTGGTCCAACACTCAGAACCCATCTGTAGACTGGTTAGAATGGGACCTGACCAGTGTGCAAGCTGAGATGTTCTACAGCACACCACCATATGACCACACGCTATACACAGAAGAAGGTGATTTGTGCTCTAAGCTCATAATAAAGTTTTTGTCACCAGCTTCTTTATTTTGAGGAACTGGGTGTAATTTAGTCTCCTTTCTGACTCTAGGACACTTCTTGGTCCTTCCTAACTCCCAGCGTGACACCGCTACCCAGAATGCCTGGTTGCTGAGCCCTCACCTGGCACCAACCAAAGGAACCTGTCGGAGCTTTTGGGTTTATCAGCCAACCATGTGTATGTATATACAGTATGTATCTATATCATCAAACTGTCAGTTTTAGTTGTTTATTACTTCAGTTTTTTAGTATGTCAGTGACCACGTTTGTTCAAGAGTTTGGAATCATTAATGTTTTTTTTAAGGAAATTAGTACTTCTATTTAGCAAGGATGCATTAAAATGGATAAAAGTGACATTTATACATTTGTAATGTTACAAAAGATTTCTATTTCAAGTAAATTATGTTCTTTTGAATTTTATGTTCATATATTCAATATTAAGCAGCACAACTGTTTTCAATGTTGAAAATAATAAATGTTTTTTGAGCACCAAATATAACCAGCATATTAGGATGAAGGATCATGTGACACTGAAGACTGGAGTAATGGCTGCTGAAAATTCAGCTTTGACATCAGAAGAATAAATGACATTTTAAAATATATTCAAATAGAAAACAGTAATTTTTAATTGTAATATTATTTAACAATAATAGTTTTTTTTATTGTATTTTGGATCAAACAAATGCAGCCTTGGTGAGTATAAGAGATTTTTTCAAAACCAGAAATTCTGATCAACCCAAATTTTTGAACAGCAGTGCAACTACTATATTTGTCAAAAGGTCTCTCTGCCGATTATACACCACATTTATTTAAAAAATTCCTTAAAATTAGCATCCAGCTATTACATATCCTGTGAAATGCACTGTTAGTCACTTTGGATTAAATAAAAATCATTATAATTTATTAATGATTACTTATATTGCATTCTTGGTGAAGATGACACTAAACTTACAGTGTGGAGGCTGTCTGAAGAGACCAGACATGAACTGCTGACGCTGCATGAGGGAGGTGGAAACTGGAAATCCTTCAGTGTCAATATCACCTCAGAAACTGAGTACCAGGTGACCAAAACTGACTGTATTCTATGAAATAAAGAATGCAAAAGAAGTGCTGCACGGGGTATAGGGTTCTTGTCTCAAATCAAGGGATGATTCAACTCGTAAGAATAATAGTAGTCCAAGGCACTCGAATCTTATTCAAAAAGTTTTAAAAAGCCTTTATTTCATCATGGCTATAAGTTTTAAAAACAGGTGACAAGTGCACACCCGTTTTTAAAACTTATAGCCATGATGAAATAAAGGCTTTTTAAAACTTTTTGAATAAGATTCGAGTGCCTTGGACTACTATTATTCTTATGACTGTAATTCTATATTTGCATAGGTTTTTGAGTGTGATTATACTGATGTGTGTGTTTTAACGGGAGGCAGATTGTACTAGAGGGATTTAAAGGAGAGAAGGGTGTTCTTGCTTTGGATGACATACGGTACACAGTTGGGGTGGGCTGTGCTGGGCAGAAGACAGACCACAGTAAGAGTTCTTCCTATAGCAAGATTTAGTTTACTTTAGTGTCATTTAGATTTGTACAAGTGCACACCCGTTTTGAAAACTTATAGCCATAATGAAATAAAGGCTTTTTAAAACTTTTTGAATAAGATTCGAGTGCCTTGGACTACTATTATTCTTATGACTGTAATTCTATATTTGCATAGGTTTTTGAGTGTGATTATACTGATGTGTGTGTTTTAACGGGAGGCAGATTGTACTAGAGGGATTTAAAGGAGAGAAGGGTGTTCTTGCCTTGGATGACATACGGTACACAGTTGGGGTGGGCTGTGCTGGGCAGAAGACAGACCACAGTAAGAGTTCTTCCTATAGCAAGATTTAGTTTACTTTAGTGTCATTTAGATTTGTATGTATTCTTGTTACCATCATACCTATAATGAGTGAACTGGAAAGAGATATGTGTGAAAACTTTATATTTAGTGAAAATCTTTTTATATTTTTTATATACTTTTTTTATATTTTCAGCCTCATCATCATCTAACAACGCAGGAACCATTGTGGCCTCTGTTGTAGTCATCATTGTGCTCTTAGTGCTTCTCGCTGCCTTGCTGGTGTAGCGAATCAGCTCATGGGGAAATATGAATAATTAATCATAACTAGTTATAATTAATTATAAATATTTAGATCCGCTGTAGATATTTACTTGACCTCTCAGGGTCAACTGTCTGTCAATTCTAAGAACGTTAATTTCCTGGTTAAGGGAAATAACTTTCTTACTGTACAACTCTACACAGAGCCTGCAGCATAAATCTGCATGATTAGGGACGCCAGTTATGAGTAAACAATGAACAACGTCAAGTGTGATATGTCAGGGTTGCCATGGTAACCAGGGGGGGGCCTGGTGTCGTTGCAGACATCCTGGCATCCAGTTATATTGGGTGAGGGGACTGTGACGATTTGTTGATCTAATGAATAACTGATTTGTTAAATCAAATGAAAAATTGTGTGTTTGATTGGTCCAGACGCTACACTGGTGTTCTACCTGAAGAATAAACATAAGGCCAATAATGCTTTAATACAGGAATCAAACAGATCTCATATAAGCTGCATTGGCTTTGGCAATGGCATGTATGAATCTGGAGATGCTGTAAGTTATCTGGCTGTATATGGTCTTGTTTGGTGTTAAGGGATTGTATTTACTCACCCTTTTGTTCCAAACCTGTATTACTTCATTTCTGTTTTGAAACACAAAAGGGTGCATTTTAAATTTGATTTGTTTTACACCCAAAAGTTATTGTATGGCTTTAGAAGTCATGTTTGAAAGCTTAAGAGTTTTTGCATCATTTCTGAAAGCTCAAGTCACCATTTATTGTAATTGCATGGAAAAGAACAACCAGTATAGTCTTCGAAATTTCACATTTTGTGTTCCACAGATGAAAGAAAGGCATAAGGGTTTACTGTGATCTCTAATAATCTAAACTACTCCATAATATTTAAATATCCTTTTGTGTGTTTGCTTGTTTACAGGAACGCATGGAGGAAGTGAATGAAAATACAGGACGGTAGGAACTCACTGTGGTGCCTGCGCCACCAACTGGCAGCCTTTCAGCAAAACGGTCGACATCACAGCAGGAGAACTGCTTGTGTCTATGGCAGGACTAGCCCGATCATAACACATGCCAAAACATACCCCAACATGTCTACACTGATGCTAACCTAATGCTAACTAAGATATAGAGTTATCTTTACGGAGTGAACATTTTGGGTCGAATAACTTATTTTACTCAACTGGTGAGACAGTCATTGGCTGTTCTGTATGCCATCACGGGATATAAATTAACTTCCTCAAACAAGCAGTCCAATCCAATGTAATTTAATATATGATATGCAATAAACAGAACAGCAAAGTAAAGAAAAAGGCAAACAATCAACAAGCCCTGTGGTATTAGATGTCCGTGGTTTGGGTTCACCATGGCCATTACTGAGAAAGCTCTAACTAGTGGATGGTCTTTCAACTTAATGGATTCTCTCTATTACAGAATAACAGAGGTTCCAAAAGAACGCACTACATTTTCAAGGGTGCCATGCAAAGTTTTTGGGTTATCCCATAAATTAAACTGAATATTGTATTCCCATTCTGCATATGAAAATGTAACATTAAATTGTATTTAAAAAGTGTCTCATGTGCGATTAATAGGAATATTATGCAACTTAAACATTCTCTCAAAGAACACCTTAAAGTGTAAATAAACGAATTATAGATAGATAGATTACAAACAAAGTTGCTGGATTTTTGTAGATATGTCGAGAAAAGCGCCCAAGTTAATAACCACGGTAAAAGTTGCTGTCAGCTTGTTAAAGCGGTGTACACATATTCAAGAGGGACACAACATGCGCCCTTATTGCGGAATGAATTTTATGAAACATTCTAAATATAACACATTTACGATGACGATATATTTTCTTTTTCAATCTTGACACTACAGGCAGACGCTAAACCGAAACCGAATTACGGCGTCTCTTAGCAACGGCGATGTCTCCACGGCAACATCCTCCCAATCCGTCTGTCGAAAAGCTTCAGTAGGATAAATCAAGCAACAAAATCCACACGCTACGTCAACAGTAAAAGATATAAAGCTTTGCTGTGTTCAGAATGAAAGGATTATAAAACCGGTGGAGGGGAACAAATTATCGCGAATTGTTTTTGAGGCGCGTGACAGAGCTGCAGTGACAGTAATGCTGTGACTAAATTCACTATTATCTATCCGTGCAGCCTGCATTGCTGTGCACAAAACCCTGTCAAATAACGAACACTTGCACTTACCGGCAGGATGGACCCAGGTGTGCTCATATTCTTACTTTACGTCATGATAGCTCACGAGCTTGTGTGTGGATTGATGCAGTACAGGAGACAAGCAGCCAAACCTCATAAACGCCTAATGTGGTGCTCCAGGTAAGATGCTTACATGTGTATTTTACCTCGCTAAAAATGTCCCTTAAGTTAACTATTTTTCTGACCAACCTCATTCTTGGGACACTCACAAATGTACAGTTATTCTGTAACGTTATGCCTTAAAATGTTCTGTAATGTAACCTAAATATGCTTCTGCTAACATGTAAAGTAATTATACTTCATATGACCGAAGCAACTTTAATTATTCCTTAATACTATTTAAAGTGTTTTCTGGGAAATCCATCTCTTTAAGTATTTCAGTAAAACACTGAAAAAATTACTATTTTGCATATGTCTGTGCCATAATAACTGTACCATCTTTACTTTTACCCACAGTTCCCGTGTCTGTCATGGAACGTGGAGAGTCAGTAGCCAGCCGCTGCGGACAGGGAGACGAGACTTGAAGAAAACTGGACGTATTGTCAGGAAAGCGTGACACGAGGGCCGCTGTGGATAAATGTGGTTCTTAATCATTCTTCCTGCACTGTGATCAATCACTGAAGCTATGCTGGACCGCTCACTGCCAGTTCATGATTATATCATTTCAACTGTGATGCTCAAAGTTTACAGTTTTCCTATTCACTGTAATTGTGGACATCTTTACTTAGAGGTTCATTTTTAGCTATAGTTCACCTAGAAATTGAAATTCTGCCATTATTTACTCACCCTATTGTTGTTGCAAACATGTATGAAAACTTTTGAAAAATGTACTTACTGTGATTTTTTTTTCTGCAGTTACAATGCTTCAGAATGGACACAAACAGCTTCATAAAAGTGATCCAAGTCTTCTGAAGTCATATGATAGCTTTGCATGAGGAGCAGACCTTGTTTTGTGTTCCACAGAGAAAAGAAAGTCACACAGGTTTGGAATGTGAGAAAATAATGGCTGAATTGTAATTAATGGGTGATCTAATTCTTAGAACTACATTTTTGTTAGTGATTTGAAAGCTGCTATTTTTACCTAAACTGAATATATTGTGTGGTTAATATGAGTTGTGGTAGCCAAACGCAGAGTTCAGTCCCAACAGAGGTGATTCGAGATCTCTGGTCACATTTACAATGTAATATCACTGTGCACTTGAGTATGGAAATTAATCCCAGATTGCAGCAATTAATCTACATTACATCACTTTTGATGAAAATCATCTGCTAAATGGGTTTCCGAACACAATTTGTATATTTCTTGTTCAGTTTGCTGTTTCTGACCTTATTACATTTTGTAAATGAATTGCAAATTCTTGTTTTGGATGTGATAAGTCAAGTGTACATGGAAGTTCACACTAAACCTTTGTACCCCACTGTGTATTGAGATTAATTAAATATGCATTTCAGCATCAACTATAGTGTAGTGATATTTTTTTCGAGTTGAGGTGTCAGTATCAGCAGGTTTGGGAATTACAGTGTTTAGCAAGCACTTTCATGTTTCAATGTTGAACCACTTAATATTTTCAAATATTCATTTTTGATCGGTCTCTTCAATAAGGTTTGCGGAATAGTTCATGCAAAAATGAAAATTTATTCACCCCTCAGGCCATCCAAGATGTCGATGAGTTTGTTACTTCATCAGACAGATTTGGATAAATTTAGCATTACATCACTTGCTCACCAATGGATCCTCTGCAGTGAATGGGTGCCGTCAGAGTTCAAACAGCTGATAGAAACATCACAATAATCCACACAACTCCATCAATTAACGTTTTGTGAAGTAAAAAGCTGCATATTTGTAAAACAAAAAACAAATCCACCATTAAGAATTTTTTATTCTTAAAACAGTAGCTTCTGCTTTTGATACGAGTCCTCTATCCATAATATTGCTTTCTGCAGTGAAAAAGTAATCTTGTCTGAATCAAGAGAGGAATATGCAAAGATCAAGCACTGTTTACAAACCAAAATAGTTCTAAACAAAGATGTCGGTGGATTTTGTGAGAGGACAACAGAGGATGGACTTTATTTTGACCAGAAGCAATGGTTTAAAGTTAAAATGCCTTACTGATGGATTTGTTCCTTACAAACACGAAGTTTTTCTCTTCACAACATGTTGATTAATGGACTGGATTCATGTGGATTATTGTGATGTTTTTATCAGATGTTTGGACTCTCATTCTGACGGCACCCATTCACTGCATTGTTGGTAAGTGACATAATGCTAAATTTCTTCATTTAACACAGGAGGCAATTCAGGTGATTGTGGTTTGCCCATTTATTTTAGCTTTACTTTTGCTCTTCTTTGTCTCACACTATCTCGTAAACATTATCAAGATCCAACCACAACAAGACAAGAATGCAGATGGGTCAGGAAAACTGGTTACATGTTGTCATCTTTATATTCTCTCATATTTTCTTTTGTTCTCTGCCAGTAAATTCTTTTTAAACACGACAGTAAAGATCTCTTGTTCTATTGATTTAGCCAAATAGACACCCAAACACCGCACCCATAGTGAAAGTACAACTCAACATTTAACGACAAAACCATTGACATTAAAAGAGAAGTGACCATCCATAACAGCTTTCACTCTTCTGTGGTGGCTTTCCACTGAATGTTGGAACATGGCAAGGGAGATTTGCTTCTATTCAAACACAAAAGCATCAGTAAAGTTGGCTGATGACGTATGGCTTGCAATTGCTGTTCCAATTCATCCCTAAAGTGTTCAGTGGGGTTCAGATTTTTGTCTTGTTTTCCAGTACAAATAACACTCTTAAATTAAGATACATTTACTTAGGATATTTACTTAAAAATATATCAAAATTAAGTGAATTTTGCTTAAAACAAGAAAATATATCCATCAGTGGGGTTAGAAAAATAATTCTGTTTTCCCTTTGTATTACTTTTCTTACCCCACTGACAGATTTAATTAATCTCTTTTCTTTATTATTATTTTTAAGCATAAAATCACTTATTTTGATTATTTTTCCCTAAAACAAGACTTAAGGCACTTTGTTTCTCAAGTAAATGTGTCTAGGTTTAATTTTTAATCTATTTATTAATTTATTTATTTATTTTTGATATTTCCACTGGAAAACATGACAAAAATACTGAGAAAAAAAACAACATTTTTTGCAGTGCAGAATTATTTAGATTACCACTTATATCTAAATCTAAGGCTTTTTGAAGGGTCTGTGTGAAAAGGCTCGAACCACTGATCCTGAGGCAAAGATTGTAGCTAATACTAAACTTTCTATTTAGTTTGACTTGTTTTGGTTTGTTTATTTTTTAGCTGCAAATAACTTCAACATGTTGCTTATGCCAGTTTTGCTTGTTTGTAGGGTGCATGCTTTATACTACACAGCATTTTAGTGGCCTACTAAAATGATTAGTGCTTCTATGTACTAAGATGCAAACGAGCAGTTTCCTTTTAAATCATAGAGGCTGTTTTTGCTTCATCTACTTTTTTGCAAAATAATGTATGTGTTTATTTAATCAGCTTTAATAATCAGGTAATTTACAGCAATGACCATCTCAGCAGGTTTGGGACACTTGTTTGTATATTGGCACATCAGAGGCTAACTGGACTGTAAAAACCTCTGGTCCTCTGTGCTTTCTTTGTGCTGATGTCTCTTTGCAGTGGAAAAAAAACCCCTCTCAATAAGCATAGTGTGTAATTGTGTGTTCAGTGGAGCTGAGGTGAGAAAACCGTTGAGTTGGTTTATTTGTCAGTGAACGCATTGATCATCCTCAAGTCTCTAATATTGTATGAAGAGACATTAGACTATAACAAAGTGATGCATTCCAACAAACAATCAATGCATCAATGATTTTTTTTAAAGCTATTGTAACAACAGTGCAAATTGTTTAGCTGAACAGGTTTTATACGTTAAAAGTTGTTTACTATCTCACATAAGGGAAGGTTGGAAATCCTGCATATTATCTACGTCACACCTCTGTACAACATAACCTCAATGACAGGCTGCCTTAAATTTGCCTGTTTCAGTTCACAGGGTTTCAGTCTTTATATGAAGTGGAGTAAAATATACAGCTCTGAGTAAGTCATCTTTGATTTGTACAATTAATATGGTACATTAATGAGCATTGAAATTGTGTTTGTTGCATGCTATCTATTGCAATCAATGAAAATGTAACAATTATTTAAAATATTTTAGAAATAATAATAAATTATCTAATGATATCATTATATCAGTACACAGTAGAATATTTTTAATTGAATATATAATGTCATTAATACTTTAAACAGCCAATACAGATTATTAAAAACAGCAAAAAAAACTGTTTTTCTATTCTGTGTTTTCTCTAATATCCTACATTGCTAAAAGTTGTCTTACGACTTGTCTCTTTACTTTCATTTTGAGGAATGCATAACAATCAGATGTCATTTCTTTAAAATGATTTGTCATGCTATTTTATTAAACAAGTAACTTGCTGTTATCTATCATACAAAAAGAGAATCTTTTTTTAAAACCATTGAAATGCACTACATTAACACAATGTTTTTGTCTTGTTTTATCTCTCCAGGTTCGTTGTTTACTGTACATCTGATCCAGTATGTCTTATGTATCAGAGAGCTCTAGTCTCAACAAGACCCTGCGGCAGCAGTATCTCAGTCTGCCCCAGGGAAACTTCTGTCAGGTCACTTACGTCTGGATCGATGGCTCTGGAGAGGGTCTGCGTAACAAGACTCGAACCATGGATTCAGAGCCAAAGAGCGTAGCTGGTAGCAAAGTGTTGACTGGTTTCGCTTTCTTTATCTTGAACGTTTTATTTATTCTTATTTTGTTTTTGTTGTTGTTCTTTGACAGACCTACCAGAATGGAATTTCGCTGGTTCCAGCACGGGTCAGTCTAAAGGACACAACAGTGACATGCTACTGATTCCTGTCTGCATGTTCAGGGACCCATTCCTCTTGGACCCGAACAAACTGGTGCTATGTGAGGTGCTCAAGCACACCCGAGAACCTGCAGGTAGAATTTATCCACTATAAAAATTATGTAAATTTGGAAAAATAAAAGATGATACATTTTTTACAAATTCCAAAAAAAAAAAACTTTTAGGGACTCAAGTAACGCATCTCAGTGCAGCTTTTGAAATATGATGTATTATACATTTTTTAAAGTCAAATCAACAAGTATAGATGGTGAGTCCCATTCACCGCCTTCCCAGCATATGGTTTACACTGTTACATGTACATGTGTAAAACTCTTTTTTGAAGTTGATGTAACTCAAGAAAACAATTTATTTAATTTAAATAATCATTAATAGTTATATTTATGTCAGATTTATTTAACATTTGAAGTTAAAATTTTAGTTTTTAATTTAAAAATGATTAAAAAGCCATTCAAACTACAAACCTTTTTTGTTAACGTGCTATAAACACCAAATTGTGTACAGTTAAAATGCACAGAGATTCATTTGAGTTCCAAAATTTATCATAGTGATAATACAAATTAAACTTGTGTAGAACTGATGAAAAAAAAAATTTTCTTTTAGAATCGAACCACCGTAACAGCTGTAACAAGGTCATGGAGAAGGTCAAAGAGCTTCACCCTTGGTTTGGCATGGAGCAGGAATATACTCTTTTTGGAGTGGATGGACACCCTTATAGCTGGCCCAGACTTGGCTTTCCCAAACCACAAGGTTAAATCCTGTATCAAGCTGCTGAAAAGGATTTTTGAATGCCAAACATATTGTAAAATGTCCCTCCTACCTGGCAGATGTCACTAAAATCTGTGCAATGAGAAACCACACCAGTTCTTTGTAAACACCGAAGAAGAATCTGGAAGCAGGCTATGTTCGATTAGAAAACACTTCCTGTTTGTAAAAAAAAATTGCATGTTTTGGTTGGCTGACAGGGCTTAGGATTTTGGCAAGATGTGTGGTTGAAGAGCAGTGGAATATAAGAAAACAATCACTTACAGCACCTTTAAACCAGTGGTACATTGATAGATGATACTGCCCTATGGAAGAATTTAATTTCTAGGGTCTAAAAAACTGTGGTCCCAAACCTGAATGATTGTATTTCTTCAGTGGAACAAAAAAGAAGTTTTGTCGAATGTTTCAGCTGCTGTCTTGCGCACAATAAAAGTGGATGGGGACCAGACACCTTCAAGCTCCAAAAAAGACAAAGCAATCACCATAAAATAGTTCATATCTATTATTGCAAAATATTCCAGTCTTAAAGTAATTTTGATAGCTTTGTATGAGGAATGCACAGACAATTAAATTATTAATCGAAAATTTTGCTTAACTCCCAAGGTCCATTAAATTTCATTGTATGGAAAAAAAAACTCCTTGGGCTTTCTACTATAAATATTACATTTTTGTTCCATAAGGTTTCAAAAGACTTCGACATTTTTATTTTTAGAATTTTTATATTGTCTAATTGTACAAATAAAGTGCCATCTGTGACATCTTTATATTTAAAAGATGGCAATGTTTTTTATTTTGTGTCTCTTTTCTGTCAGGTCCGTATTACTGCAGTGTTGGTGCTGACAGAGCTTTTGGCAGAGACATTGTGGAGTGTCATTATAAAGCCTGTCTGTATGCTGGCATCAAAATCAGTGGCACTAACGCAGAGGTCATGCCCTCTCAGGTAACTACCGTTAAATTATAGTTATTAGGCATCATGTTCTGGATGGGTTACTTTACTAGTTACTTGAAAAAAGTAATCTGATTACGTAACTCGCGTTACTTGTAATGCGTTACCCCCATGTTATCTGACCTCCATGATTCTTTTCTCTGCATCAGGCACATTGAGAAAGCCATTGAGAAACTGAGCAAGCGCCATGCAGAGCATATTCGTGTCTACGACCCGCATGATGGAGAAGATAACAAACGTCGCCTCACGGGTCGCCACGAGACCTCCAGCATTCATGACTTCTCATCAGGTGTTGCTAACCGTGGGGCCAGCATCCGTATCCCTCGTCAGGTGGGTCAGGAAAAATGCGGTTACTTTGAGGACCGTCGTCCTTCTGCCAACTGTGACCCATATGCTGTGACCTGCGCAATGGCCCGCACATGCATGCTGGAAGGGGATGAAGATGTCCATGAACTTGAATAACACAATTTTAGAAACTAATAATTGTTTAGAATATTCGATAGAGTGCACCTTAACCTGTTTTAATTGTTGTTTTTTCTGTAAATTATACTCTATACATATTAAGCTCTTCTTCTTAAAAGAATGTTTTATGACACATGATTTGCAGGCAAGCTTGATATGTTGTATTGAATGATCGTACACCTACCTGTTTCTCTGCACAATAGATCACATTAGAACCTGACTGGGGTTAACAGCTGATTCTCTCCCTGCCCTTCTACCGTCACACAAACAAAATTCAAAAGGCTGCATTTCAAGTTACCTGCCACAACAATGCAGATGGTTTAGGTGAACAGGTTTTTATAATTGCCAAATTTTCAAGGGTGTAAATACCAGTTCACATTTTACTTAAATGAAGCCACATAAAGCACATAATACATCACAGAAACAGGTTTGAGCATTCATATGGTGTAAAGCGAATACAAAAAATTAAAAAAAACGCTTATCAGTGTGTTCATCATCTTTGAAATATGTATTAAATGTATCAAATCTTTGGGGTTGATGATGTTTCTTATCCTCACAAAGGCTGCATTCATTTAATTCATTTATTTGTAAAATAAAAAAGCTATTTGAAAAATAAAATGCATTTATTTGAAAATACAGTAAAAGTGGCAAAATTTTGGAAATAGAATTACAATGAAAAAAAAATATATTTTAACATATTTTGAATAATTTAATTTAATCTTGTGATGGCAAAGCTGAATTTCCATCAGCCATTATTCCAGTATGTAGTGTCACATGATCCTTCAGAAATAATTGTAATATGCTGATTTGGTGAAATTCTTTGAGGAATAAAAACTTAAGAAAAAAATCTTAATGACCCCAAACTTTTGAACAGTAGTGTAAAAATATGCTTTCACTTTATTTTTAAGCATGGATAACCATAGTACACCCATCATTCAAACTGAGGATACCTGCACCTACAGTATTTACAGATAAACTGCATATATATGTGTGTGTGTGTGTGTGTGAGTGAACATGTATACACACACACACACACACATATATGATGAGCCAAAACATTATGCCCAGTCACAGGTGAAGTGAATGTCTTTGATCATCTCCTAAAAAGGCCACATTAAAGTCTGGGTAGATTAGATAGTAAGCAAACAAACAGTCAGTTCTCATAATCAATGTGTTGGATGCAGGAGAAATGGGTAGGAATAAAGATCTAAGCAACTTTGACAAGGGCCAAATTGTTATGGCAAGGTGACTGTGTCAGAGTATCTCTGAAACAGCAAGTCTTGTGGGTTGGCAACAGGGTGATGATTGCTCAAGGCTCATCAATGCATGAGGGCAACAAAGGCTATCCTGTCTGGTCCAAGCCAACAGAAGGTCTACTGTGGCACAATCACACAAAATTTTAATGATGGTTATGGGAGAAATGTGTCACAACACCCATTGCAACACTCTGCTGTGTATGGGGCTGCGTAGCCACAGACCAATCAGAATGCCTGATGACCCCTGTCCACTGTCAAATGCTCCAACAATGGGCACGCAAGCATTGGAACTGGATCTTGGAGCAGTGGAAGAAAGTCACCTGGTCCAATAAGTTCTGTTTTCTTTTACATCACGTGGATGTAACCTGGGGAAATGATGGCACCAGGATGCACTGTGTCCCCCCAGACATGTTTGAGAACTTGCAAATGTCTCAGTGAAAGAGTGGCAAAACATCTCACAGCAACTGGCAAATCTGGTGTAGTCCATGAGAATGAGAAGCACTGTAATACTTAAAGCAGCTGGTGGCCACACAAGATACTCACGGTCTGCCACATTTGATACTGACCCCCTCTCCTTCATTCAGGGACACATTGATCAATTTCTGTTTAACAGAAATGCATAAATAAAAACATGGCCCAACCTCACATTTGTAAAAAAAAAAAAAAAAAAAAAAAAGCATTGTCCCAAGATCAGATTTACAGAGATGATTCACACCAAAACAAGTAATTCGCTCTTTCTTCTTTGGAACAATGTAATTTCAAATGTAGTTTGAACATTTGAAAGAGTTTTATTGGCAATTGCAACCCAGAGGACCTCCCTCAGGTGACAGAAGATATGATTGATGTGGATCTGTTCAGCTGTTACTCCAGTTTCAGTGTAGCCTGGGAAAATCAGAGAGGGAAAAAGCATCCACAGACGTAATACCATTAATATTTTTGTTTGGTTTTGTTGCATTATATCTGCTCCAGTATGTCTTGCGTATCTGACAGCTCACGTCTTAACAAGTTCTTGCGGGAGAGATACCTCAATCTTCCCCAGGGAGAGTTCTGTCAAGTCACTTACGTCTGGATTGCTTATTGTGGAATGGACTTGTGCTACAAGACCCGAACCATGGACTTTACACCAAAAACCATAGCTGGTACTACAGAAATTTCTTCATAATATATGTTTTGGGTTTTCTTGTGTTTATCATGCTTTATACTTACTTTTTTTATTTTTGGTAGATATACCAGAATGGGATACCATTGGGCAAACTGAAGGATTCAGCACTGAGATGCCACTGGCTCCTGCCTGCATGTTCAGGGACCCCTTTCTTTTGGACCCTAACAAACTGGTCTTTTGTGAGGTGCTCAAGAACACCCGGGAGCCTGCAGGTATGATAGGCTGAAATGATGGTAAATTGTATAAAACTCACGTTGGGTTCTTTATGTTCTGCACCATTGTTAATGTTGCTCAGCTGGTAGAGCATGATGTATGTATGCATAAATGTAAATATATGTAAAGGTACCTATGTAAACATTGTAAAACTGCTCATACTTACCCAAATCCTTATCCAAATTGTTCTCTTAGAATCGAACCACCGTAACAGCTGTAACAAGATCATGGAGAAGATCAAAGAGCTTCACCCTTGGTTTGGAATGGAGCAAGAATATACTCTCCTAGGAGTGGATGGACACCCTTTTGGCTGGCCCAGACTTGGCTTTCCCAAACCACAAGGTTATCTAAATGTTACCATGAGTTGTTACATCCACAGTCTAGGGTGAGAATGCAACATTAAGTATAAAGAGTAAACAGTAATACACAATTTCCTCTGTACATATATGGACAATGATATTACATTCTAAAAGCATAGACATTAATATGGAGTTGGTCCCCAAACTGTTCCCACAAAGTTGGAAGCATAGCATTGCCATTGTCCAAAATGTCTTGACTTTAGTTGTAGGGGAAAAATTGGTTTTGATTTACAATAGATTTCTCCATAAAGTAGTCATAAAATGTCATCTGAACTTCAAATAATACACAATAGACAAATACACTCTGTGTAAATAATGCTGTTATTGTACTTAGGTCTTTTATGGCTTATGTCCAACCGTACAGCTTAAATAATGTGTCTGCCATTTTTTAACCACAAATTGAATTTTGTGTCGTTCTTCTTTCAGGCACATATTACCGTTGTGTTGGTGCTGACAGAGCCTTTGGCAGAGACATTGTGGAGTGTCATTATAAAGCCTGTCTGTATGCTGGCATCAAAATCAGTGGCACTAACCCAGAGGTCATGCCCTCTCAGGTAACTATGATATCATTAGGTAATTATGTGAACTAATACTCACTTTTCTACTTAATTGGTTCTGCATATTAGTTACATGCCCAAAATCAGTGGCACTAACGCAGAGGTCATGCCCTCTCAGGTAACTATGATATCATTAGGTAATTATGTGAACTAATATTCACTTTTCTACTTAATTGGTTCTGCATATTAGTTACATGCCCGTAAAAATGGTACATTATTGTACCATTGGTTAAAAAAACCCAGTCTGGATAGTCTGTTCTCTCTGCAGTGGGAGTTCCAGGTGGGTCCATGTGAAGGAATTGAGATGGGAGATCATCTATGGATGGTACGTTTCCTGCTACACAGGGTGTGTGAAGATTTTGGAGTGGTGGCCACCCTGGATCCAAAACCCATGACAGGAGACTGGGACGGAGCTGGTTGCCACATCAATGTGAGCACAGTGCAAATGAGAGCGGAAGGAGGCATTGAGTATGTACTGAATTGCATACACATGCTAGTCAGAGAGAGAAAGTCATGTTGCTGTGTTTTGCCATGTCATCTGACCTGCATCCTCCTCCTCTCTACATCAGGCACATTAATAAAGCCATCGAGAAACTGAGAAAGCGTCACGCAGAGCATATTCGTGTCTACGACCCAAACGGTGGCGAGGACAACAAGCGGCGACTCATAGGTTGTCAGGTGTTCTCCAGCATAAATGATTTCTCACCAGGTGTTGCTAACCGCGGGGCCAGCATTCGTATCCCCTATCGGGTGGCTCAGAACAAATGTGGCTACTTTGAGGACCGCCGTCCTGCTGCCAACTGTGACCCATATGCTGTGACCTGCGCAATGGCCCGCACATGCATGCTGGAAGGGGAGGAAGAATTGAAATAATGGATAATAATTCTGGAAACAAATAATGGTTGTTTAGAAGAAATTAATGCCAATTTAATATCGCATACTTATCATATTTCTTTAAATGTAAGAATTAAAATAAAAATCAATAAAACAACCACCAATAAAAAACAATATACAATATGTGAACTGAATTCTATCACTGCTGACTATCCGCAACGCGGAATTAATGTGCAAAACGACCGATTCATTAGAAGAATAACGAAGTGCAGTAAACGCTAAAACTATTTTCGCGACACTCAAATAATATGATAACAAATTACTTACAACATCAAGCAGCATGACAGTTTTTGTAAATGTAAAATAACTGGACGCGAATGACGCCGGAAGTCTGGCACATTCAAGTTACAAGTTACAAACTGCGCCTGCTCTTTTAAATCAGGATAATGAACAATATTCGATAATAATAGGTGGATAATAGAACAATATCTGGAATCTGTGTGATATGCTCGTGTCATTTGTTAGGATTGCTGTTCTTTTGAGTGTCCATTAGGGTGCGTAACAGGCAAGTGTTTAGAACTCGGGTAACACTTTGAATACGCCTAGAAATGTTTCAAGTGTTATTGCTTTCTCAATTTTGTTTGAAAATAACGTATTTGTTAAAAAGTTTACCGAAATGTATTAATAACTTAATTTATTAATCATTATCTCAGTCTTGTTTCCCAGTAAAATATCTAAACATCCATAAAACAAGATATTTAGTACAGAATAAAATTGGCATATGCATTATGGCATATGAATAATGTATGTTGCCTTATTCCATTGGAAGATTTGCTTGTTTGAATCTCATAAAATGCATTGTTAATTAAATGTATTATTATATACTATCCATTGTATTATATATTATACAATGTATTATAATTAAATTAATTATCTGTTATTATATCACAGCTATTCATGCAGTGAAACTTAAGGATCTGACAGTAGATGTTTATAAAGCCTGATGCTCGACACAATAAATCTTATTAGATGCTGATGTTGGTTACTAGCACTTATTTTCTACCTCTTTCACACAAGTGTATTAAAACAAATACCAATTTGACATAATTCTTTAAATCTGTTGAGAGATGTTAATAAAGTTGTTATTTTTTTCTGTTATGTCCACAAAGCAGACCTCTCAGAAGAAGAAAAAAAAATTGCTGTTGTCAGCAGGCACAGGAGATGGGTTTAAAGTGGCTTCTATTTTCAGCAGATGAGCGATGTGTGGAGCGCAGGAGTGTTCAGTCCCCATCATGAGGTGAATTTATTATTCCCAGAACAATGGCAGAAGGGATGTCTGTTCAGTTTTATCAATGCTTGTCGCCAGACAGATGGAGTTATGGATTTTTGCTAATTTTCCTGGTTGGTTATGGAGAAAGCCCAGTGTGGTGCTGTTGTCAATGACGTGACACTCATTTTTTGCTTTTAGTAATTCAAAAATACACAAACTCAATGCAATTCATACAGATTATTTCTTGAATACACCTCAACTATAAGGAACATGTTTTCATATTCTGAATAAATTTGGATATTTTTGAGGTGTCTCAAAAGTCAAAAATATGCATGTGGTGCAAGCAAGAAATACATTTTTGGGGGGAAAAAAAGAAAAAAGAAAAAGATAATTCGTTTGGCATAATCTTAAATTTAATTATTATTATTTATAATATTATAAATTATGGCTTATTTTTGAGGCAGTTTTGTACATAGCCTACATTAAGATAGATAGATAGATAGATAGATATCAACACTTGCAAATTAAGGTGTGTGAAGATTTTGGAGTGGTGGCCACCCTGGATCCAAAACCCACGACAGGAGACTGGAACGGAGCCGGTTGCCACATCAGTGTGAGCACAGTGCAAATGAGAGCGGAAGGAGGCATTGAGTATGTACTGAATTGCATACACATGCTAGTCAGAGAGAGAAAGTCATGTTGCTGTGTTTTGCCATGTCATCTGACCTGCATCCTCCTCCTCTCTACATCAGGCACATTAATAAAGCCATCGAGAAACTGAGAAAGCGTCACGCAGAGCATATTCGTGTCTACGACCCAAACGGTGGCGAGGACAACAAGCGGCGACTCATAGGTTGTCAGGTGTTCTCCAGCATAAATGATTTCTCAGCAGGTGTTGCTAACCGCGGGGCCAGCATTCGTATCCCCTATCGGGTGGCTCAGAACAAATGTGGCTACTTTGAGGACCGCCGTCCTGCTGCCAACTGTGACCCATATGCTGTGACCTGCGCAATGGCCCGCACATGCATGCTGGAAGGGGAGGAAGAATTGAAATAATGGATAATAATTCTGGAAACAAATAATGGTTGTTTAGAAGAAATTAATGCCAATTTAATATCGCATACTTATCATATTTCTTTAAATGTAAGAATTAAAATAAAAATCAATAAAACAACCACCAATAAAAAACAATATACAATATGTGAATTGAATTCTATCACTGCTGACTATCCGCAACGCGGAATTAATGTGCAAAACGACCGATTCATTAGAAGAATAACGAAGTGCAGTAAACGCTAAAACTATTTTCGCGACACTCAAATAATATGATAACAAATTACTTACAACATCAAGCAGCATGACAGTTTTTGTAAATGTAAAATAACTGGACGCGAATGACGCCGGAAGTCTGGCACATTCAAGTTACAAGTTACAAACTGCGCCTGCTCTTTTAAATCAGGATAATGAACAATATTCGATAATAATAGGTGGATAATAGAACAATATCTGGAATCTGTGTGATATGCTCGTGTCATTTGTTAGGATTGCTGTTCTTTTGAGTGTCCATTAGGGTGCGTAACAGGCAAGTGTTTAGAACTCGGGTAACACTTTGAATACGCCTAGAAATGTTTCAAGTGTTATTGCTTTCTCAATTTTGTTTGAAAATAACGTATTTGTTAAAAAGTTTACCGAAATGTATTAATAACTTAATTTATTAATCATTATCTCAGTCTTGTTTCCCAGTAAAATATCTAAACATCCATAAAACAAGATATTTAGTACAGAATAAAATTGGCATATGCATTATGGCATATGAATAATGTATGTTGCCTTATTCCATTGGAAGATTTGCTTGTTTGAATCTCATAAAATGCATTGTTAATTAAATGTATTATTATATACTATCCATTGTATTATATATTATACAATGTATTATAATTAAATTAATTATCTGTTATTATATCACAGCTATTCATGCAGTGAAACTTAAGGATCTGACAGTAGATGTTTATAAAGCCTGATGCTCGACACAATAAATCTTATTAGATGCTGATGTTGGTTACTAGCACTTATTTTCTACCTCTTTCACACAAGTGTATTAAAACAAATACCAATTTGACATAATTCTTTAAATCTGTTGAGAGATGTTAATAAAGTTGTTATTTTTTTCTGTTATGTCCACAAAGCAGACCTCTCAGAAGAAGAAAAAAAAATTGCTGTTGTCAGCAGGCACAGGAGATGGGTTTAAAGTGGCTTCTATTTTCAGCAGATGAGCGATGTGTGGAGCGCAGGAGTGTTCAGTCCCCATCATGAGGTGAATTTATTATTCCCAGAACAATGGCAGAAGGGATGTCTGTTCAGTTTTATCAATGCTTGTCGCCAGACAGATGGAGTTATGGATTTTTGCTAATTTTCCTGGTTGGTTATGGAGAAAGCCCAGTGTGGTGCTGTTGTCAATGACGTGACACTCATTTTTTGCTTTTAGTAATTCAAAAATACACAAACTCAATGCAATTCATACAGATTATTTCTTGAATACACCTCAACTATAAGGAACATGTTTTCATATTCTGAATAAATTTGGATATTTTTGAGGTGTCTCAAAAGTCAAAAATATGCATGTGGTGCAAGCAAGAAATACATTTTTGGGGGGAAAAAAAGAAAAAAGAAAAAGATAATTCGTTTGGCATAATCTTAAATTTAATTATTATTATTTATAATATTATAAATTATGGCTTATTTTTGAGGCAGTTTTGTACATAGCCTACATTAAGATAGATAGATAGATAGATAGATAGATAGATAGATATCAACACTTGCAAATTAAAATGATATAAAACTTTTTTTAAATGTATAAAATGAAAATCACAGTAATGAATGCTTTGGATGTGCATGACAATCTTTCAAGAATTAATGCAGTTGTAAGAATATTGTAAGAATGTCCTTGCATTCATTCTTGTAAGTTTAGCATTCAAAGGAAATATTAAATGCATTATGTCGTCACACGATTATTTGCAACAACCTTGTTATCATAAAGAGCAGGGGGAGTCTGACCGTCCCGATGACGTCAGCGCTCTTGGAAGGGCGGAGAGATGAGAGCCGCAGGTGGGACGTGAAAGTGGCCGCGTTTAGTTTTACCGACAATCTCATTTTCCGTGAGTGCTTGAGTGGTGCTTCTGAACGATATGGGGAAGCTTCAGGAATTCGAGATTACTTTCACTAATAACAAAGTGGTCTACAACCCCGGGGAATCCATATCAGGAACTGTGAGAATTAAAACAAGCCAGTCATTACAGTTTAAAGGTAAGCGACGCTGTGTATCTTACATATGCTTGCAGTAGGAAAAATGATTTGCATGGACAACACCGCTGGTAAGCTTCGGGGTTTCCCCGTTCAAGTAAAATTAGGGTGTTAATGCACGCATGTCAACATGGACGTGTCGCTATATGAACGTGTTGCATGTTTGCATGGTGCCATTCAGCATCCTATGCAGCTCCGTTTCATATACAGTGCAGTACTGGTTCATAATTCATATTATGTATATTTATGGGAAATAGGATCTCTGATCGGAAGGCATCAATGTCTAGGCTCTTGTTTTAATGAACGTCAATGTACATCCTGTTTCTCCTGCGCTACTGGTTTCGGTTCGATTGCACAATCGAGCCGCTTCTGGATCGTTGAAGCACGTTGTATATCGTGTGCGTTTCAACAAGTGGGTTTTGATGTTTGTCATCACTTGATTTTTCATCTTTAAACGTTCACAAATGAGCGTACCTTCAGAACTGACAGGCGAAAAGATCCTATAGCGTTCATCCAGGACGCGTTCTTGCGTTCAAAAACTGCTAAACGGAACGCGTATTAAAACGCAACGCGCGTGTGGTGACCAGCTAAAGGCGACTAAATGTGAATGTACTCTAACCAAAAACGAAAGAACGCTTGAACGACCGCTAATTACGCAAACAGGTTTTTCAAGAAGTTAACTGAATTATGTCAGTGGTTTGGTCATAATGAACATCACACATATAAGAAGATATGTTGACATTTTTAAAGTCGTCATAAATGTGTGATGCATTCAAGGACATTCAGCGGCTCGAGTTAAATGTCCTTGTGGCACCTCTAAACAGTTTACTGTCAAACGGCTCTTGAATCAAATGTTTTGTGTATGTAAATCTCTAATAAAGTGCTAAATAATCACAGTGTTTTGATACGCTCAAGCGGCCCACGTGACTAATGTTCTACTGGGTCGCCGTGATTTTGCCAAGTAAGACATGTTCCTTCTTTTGTTGATCCTGTATCTACATTACTGTCCAAAAATACAGACTTAACCCAATCCCTACCCCTAAACCTAACCTTACCCATAATGTATTCCTAAAATTAGAGGGAAATGATAGCTGATTAACAAGAGTGTAGAAGCACGTAATCCTGATTGTAAGCCTAAAACTGACATTTCCTGAAAAGTTATCTCTCAATTCTGATTGGTTGATTGGAATGATGTTCCAGGATCAACAAGGATGTTGATCCAGGAACATGTTGTACTTGGTCAAATCACACTCACCTGTTCTACTGTTTGCGAGCGTTTATTTAGCGCACTCTAATTTATAACCAAACTTTTGTTGTTACCTAAACAAAAATAGGGTTTAAGCATTATATAATAATTCAATTAATTTATAATTTATAAAATCCACACATAAATCTATACATACCTAGGCCCCTCTCCAAACCTTTGTCTTTACTTAGGGGCCTTATCAACTTTAAAGCCTTAACAAGGGGTTAGGCTTTCAAGACCCAGTTGTAACAACTCCCTTAAGTTAAGAAAACGTCTAAAAGAAAAGTTATAATAGTGAGAAAATCAACACCTCGGGCAACCCACTACCCAGCCCCACTAACCAAAATTTTGCATATTGCTAGTCACTGGGGAAAGAGATAAGAAAGTAGGTTAGACAAGGTGCTTTTCACACTGAGTGAATGTGTACAAAGAATGCATTGTAAGTGTTTTCACTGAACTGTTTGGTTTTAGTGTGTAGGCGAGACTCATGGACTGACACGCGAGAGAAAGAAAGAGATTCAGATGATACAACTCTATAAGCTTATTTTTCCTTGGCACTGTTTCTCTTATTGGGAAAACACACTTGAGACTTATCTGTTGCGTGAAGTTGTTGTGCTTTTTCGCTCAGTTCTAGGACCCCACCCTTATTGTGTGACACTTATGAAAAATGATCGACACTTTGTGGTCATGTTTCTGTTCCTCTCAGTTGTTCCTATCAACAGCGAGAAAGCGGCACTTTAATTCATTAGGTCTTCCCGCATTGTTAGTACTTTGGGAATTGGCTCAGTGCACCCTTCACCTTGACTTAATGTGGAAAAAGCTCCTCTAATGTGGCAGACATTGTGCATTAGCATAACAAAGCTGCTAGCTGATTTGAATCGTGGGTAACCTATATAGTAATTTTTTAAAGGAATAGTTTATCCAAAATGTAAATTCTGTCATCATTTCTTGCCTTCATTAATTTAAACCTGCATGACAAAAAAGGAGATATGCTGCTAAGTAACTTCTCCTTTTTCATGAGGCTAAGTAAATGTTAAAATGTTCAAATCCAAATACCCATCTTTTTCTTTATCTGTCTCATCAACGTCATATTATACTGTCCAGAATGGACCTGAATACTTTCTTTAGAGTCTTGCCTGCAAAGTGGAGGATGTGATGTTGTTACTCCGAGAACAGCTGTGCTTTTCAATCCACATTGCTCAGTATGTTTTATTAAAAAGCAGCTGACTCATGCTTTGGCTTTCTTATCTGCCGTGATTTTGCCAAGTAAGACATGTTCCTTCTTTTGTTGATCCTGTATCTACATTACTGTCCAAAAATACAGACTTAACCCAATCCCTACCCCTAAACCTAACCTTACCCATAATGTATTCCTAAAATTAGAGGGAAATGATAGCTGATTAACAAGAGTGTAGAAGCACGTAATCCTGATTGTAAGCCTAAAACTGACATTTCCTGAAAAGTGATCCCTCAATTCTGATTGGTTGATTGGAATGATGTTCCAGGATCAACAAGGATGTTGATCCAGGAACATGTTGTACTTGGTCAAATCACACTCACCTGTTCTACTGTTTGCGAGCGTTTATTTAGCGCACTCTAATTTATAACCAAACTTTTGTTGTTACCTAAACAAAAATAGGGTTTAAGCATTATATAATAATTCAATTAATTTATAATTGATAAAATCCACACATAAATCTATACATACCTAGGCCCCTCTCCAAACCTTTGTCTTTACTTAGGGGCCTTATCAACTTTAAAGCCTTAACAAGGGGTTAGGCTTTCAAGACCCAGTTGTAACAACTCCCTTAAGTTAAGAAAACGTCTAAAAGAAAAGTTATAATAGTGAGAAAATCAACACCTCGGGCAACCCACTACCCAGCCCCACTAACCAAAATTTTGCATATTGCTAGTCACTGGGGAAAGAGATAAGAAAGTAGGTTAGACAAGGTGCTTTTCACACTGAGTGAATGTGTACAAAGAATGCATTGTAAGTGTTTTCACTGAACTGTTTGGTTTTAGTGTGTAGGCGAGACTCATGGACTGACACGCGAGAGAAAGAAAGAGATTCAGATGATACAACTCTATAAGCTTATTTTTCCTTGGCACTGTTTCTCTTATTGGGAAAACACACTTGAGACTTATCTGTTGCGTGAAGTTGTTGTGCTTTTTCGCTCAGTTCTAGGACCCCACCCTTATTGTGTGACACTTATGAAAAATGATCGACACTTTGTGGTCATGTTTCTGTTCCTCTCAGTTGTTCCTATCAACAGCGAGAAAGCGGCACTTTAATTCATTAGGTCTTCCCGCATTGTTAGTACTTTGGGAATTGGCTCAGTGCACCCTTCACCTTGACTTAATGTGGAAAAAGCTCCTCTAATGTGGCAGACATTGTGCATTAGCATAACAAAGCTGCTAGCTGATTTGAATCGTGGGTAACCTATATAGTAATTTTTTAAAGGAATAGTTTATCCAAAATGTAAATTCTGTCATCATTTCTTGCCTTCATTAATTTAAACCTGCATGACAAAAAAGGAGATATGCTGCTAAGTAACTTCTCCTTTTTCATGAGGCTAAGTAAATGTTAAAATGTTCAAATCCAAATACCCATCTTTTTCTTTATCTGTCTCATCAACGTCATATTATACTGTCCAGAATGGACCTGAATACTTTCTTTAGAGTCTTGCCTGCAAAGTGGAGGATGTGATGTTGTTACTCCGAGAACAGCTGTGCTTTTCAATCCACATTGCTCAGTATGTTTTATTAAAAAGCAGCTGACTCATGCTTTGGCTTTGTTATCTGTCTTTTTTTAGTCTGGCCCCTATGATAAACAGTCCTGTCATGGACCTGATGAGCATGAGAGACAATTGCATTTTTTCAGCTTCTGCATAACTTATTGGATGAAAATGAAAAGCATGTTTTGAATATTAAAGTGAGACTCTTTCAGTTTTGAGACATCCTTCTGTTGAAAGACGTTTTCTTATTTACATCACTCAGTGTATAGGGTTACTGGTTAACAGACTGAACAGGCAAGACAGCTCAGCTTTGGCAGAAGTCATGTATAATCCCTTGAAACTATGAAAGAAGGGCTTTAGCCTTAATCAGTCCGTTACAGAAACTCTAAAGAAGACACGGTTGCTTGAATCTCAAATAGACACACTCTGTACAGTCTAGAAGTACATTAAAGGGATAGTTCACCCAAAAATGAAAATTCTGCCATCATTTACTCACCCTCATGTCGTTCCAAACCTGTTTGAGCAACCAAACAGTTGCTGGTAGACACTGACTTCCATTTTCCCCCTACTATGAAAGTCAATGGGTACCTGTTTGATTACCAGAATTCTTTAAAATATCTTCTTGTGTATTCAGCAGAAGAAAGCAGTTATAAAATACAGGTTTTGAAGAACTTGAGGGTGAGTAAATTAGGACAGAATTTTCTATCCCTGAACTATGACATTTTTCTTTTGACCCTTTGAGATCTGTGTGATTTGTGGAGAGAAAATAGTGTTTTGTTTAGGATATAAATATCGAGTTTTGTCCCATAGAAAATTGGTTTATATGCAAAGGCTGAAATATTGTAAATACTCAAAAAGCCCCAGGAAGAGATCCATGTTTACAAGTTGCTTACAAGTTGACAAAACACTCGTTTAGCTGACACGGGTCCGTTTAAAACAGTCTCTTTCTTCCAGGAAAAATTTAGACTTATTTTGTTTGCAGGGGCGTATGCAAATTTATGTCCAATCAAATTCCCTAAAAT